CGTCGGGCGGGGCTCGTCGGCCCCTTGTTAACGGCGCCGGTCCGGTCTGCGCCCCCCCGCAGAACCTGAAGAAGAGCTGGCACCCCCAGACCTTGCGCAATGTGGAGAAGGTGTGGAAAGCCGAGCAGAAGCGTGAAGCCGAGCGGAAGAAGGTCGAGGAGCTGCGGCGCTGGCCTGAGGACACGGGCCCTGTCCCCTGAGGGGCTGCGGGGCCCCTGAGGTGGGCGGTTGTCTTCACAGCGTTGTTGCTGTCTTCTGTCCAGAGCTGGTTGTGTGTACGGCAGCTTTCTTTAAACTTCCCGGGGCCTTTTTGGAATAGGCAGGGCTGTGCTAATAACGGACTGTGAACTGCCGTTAGCCAATTAGTCACCTGGTGCTGTGGCTTATAATTTAATTCTTCCTCTGTTTCATTAAGTTAAACATCAGCTGTGCTTTTCTGTAGCTGTGACGCATAACTTCCTGTAAAAAAAAAAAGCTTCCTTGCTGGGGGTTGAGAGTTGAACGTCTCTAATATTAAAATGCTTCCATTTCTATGGAAATGCACGTTCGATGTTTCTCCCGTCCGCAGGCAAGTGCCTGAAGCTCCATAACGCCTTAGAAGCTTGTGATGGAAAATAAAATGCTCTTGTTTGCCATAGGAAAAGAGGAGCTGGAGTGGATGTACCAGGGATTATAAAGTGTCGTTGTCCTGCAAGGTTTAAAGACTCCTGTCTCCACGTCTTCCTTACTTCCTCCTTTGCTGCTGCTGAAGGTGCTTGTAGGGAAGCAGGATCTGCACTGCTGGGCGCTCAAGGAATAAAGACCCAGCTTGCAGGCTTATTTCTCTGTAAAGCCCCTTTCCAAATTGCTTTAGAATGCAGCAGTCTGCAATGGGCAGAAAAATCTGCCTGTCCTCCAAAAATGCACCCCGTTCCTCCAGCTCCTGCTTTCTCCTGACCTGTTACTGAATCCTTTTCCAGTCCTCAATTTTTGTTGTTCCGGTATTTCTTGCAGCGCTGTGGTTGCACGTGCAAGGTGGGCTATAGCAGTGAGGTGGAACAGAGGTGCCTGAAGGGGAGTTTGGGAGGTACAGGTAGGTGTCCTCCTCGCAGCTCGTCAGGTGGGGTAGTCCGGAGACAAATGCTTTCCTTCAGAAACGGTCACATAAAATTGAAGCTGGGAAGCTTTATAAACAGCCGTTTGGCCTAAGCAGTGTGAATCTGCAAAATATTGTGGCCTAAAAGTTG